GAATCAGTGTCAGTGATCAAATGAATCTTGCTCTAGAAACTTAGCTTTTTCCTTATCCTTATGCACAAAAGGACAACCTTATAACTCACATTGAAAAATACACGTACAAAGTTACTTTATTGTCTTCATACGTGCTTACCAACTTTGTGAAAGACAACTGTTCATATGCGGCCAAAAGCCTGCATATCTGAAGACAAATGACAAGCTCTCCATTAGAATTTTGTCATGTGTTTTGTATCCTCTAAATTGCATTAAATGCAATAGGTATGAATAGTGGAGAAGACTCCTCTTCTTAGCAAACACCTTCTTCTCCTTCTAACTCTCTTCTCTCTTGTTCTTATCTCTTTCTGTATAAACTGTGTGTTTCTTAGATTGTTTAGATTAGCTCTTAACCTTATCTTTTTTTTTTTTTTGCAAACAATCTATAAATTCTTTATTGATCTTCTTTATCAATAAACAAATTTAAAAAGTGAAAATTATGTGTTTGTATTCATCCCCCTTCAATAAAACTCTTGTAGATCCGTTTGGTACCCATAAATGCCTTTCAAATCCTCCTAGCCATTATCCTACTGCAATAATTCTTGCTAAGAGGAACGATCATGTTGTGGCAATTCGACCCAGAAGGTAATGGGTTACTCTTACAACACGTCCTTGTACAATACTTAAGGCTCTCGGCTGGTAGCAGGAGCAACTTTTAATTTATTATGAGCCCAAACGATGGATTCAATAAATTCTTGCCAATAATCACGTCCACTGAATAAAAACATTAAACTAAAAGCCCATACAAAATGAGCACCTAGGAAAAAAAGGCCATGTGCAGATAATGGAGAACCATAAGACAAAATTACCTGTGATGCCTGTGCCCATAATAAATCGCGGCAAGTTCACTCTACATACAAGAGTATGGATGAAGACTAAACAAAGATACTGTGGGACCAAGTTTCCAACCCTTTTCCTGGTATGGGAACGTGTTCAGCATGTTAGCTAATGCAAGTTCAAAAGTACTATTTTATTAGTACCATATTTTCTTTATTGTTCACTCAGCATACAAAAAAAATGGGTTGAAGCAACAAGTGCCTACATCATACCAAAGGTTGATATGAAAAGTACAAAGGTACATGGATCAGCAAATCAAATAAAGACACGCGTTGACGTTGCATTATTGCATTTAATGCATGGACTGCTATAAAAGACGGTATTTGGATCATATGGAACTTGTCCCTTTTCAAGAATTTCTAAGTGCTTATTCTTTCAAATCGTTGCCATAACCTCTGAAGACTTTCTTAGATCTTCATATTGAAAGAGTGCCTTCTTCTCTAACTCTTTCAGTGTTAGCAAAATTTTCAACTAGTTAGATTGGTTAGGATCACATGTCTTACCTTCCTAGCTTCTGCAAAAAATCTATAATTCTTTGTTATAACACAAAAATATAGAATTAAAAAGTGAAAATATATTGTGTTTATATTCAACCTCCTTTTACAACACTCGTAGTATAAGTCATTAACCCATCAGGGACCAATAACTTGTAAGTAATTTGTCCGATATGCAAATGTGCGTAACATGCACACATGTATAGAAACTAGGAAACATCTTCAATTACTTGTATGCATATATGTACACAGTATAGATGAATGATTACCAGGGTGTTCTTCACTCTATATATAATGATATCACGTAAACAATCAAATTGCATAGTGAGGAAAATCCCAATTCCCTTATGAGATGAGAATAAGGATGGAATCTTATTCCTTGACGGGGATGGAGAGTTTGGAATATAGACTAGAGATCAGGGATGGAATGTGGATGGGGTCTCCATTACCACCCCTGGACATCTTGTCATCTCTAGCCAAGACGACACCATACGACACTATGGTAATGTGTAGACTTAAACAATTAACATGGTGTAGACGGGACATGAGGTGAGTCGTAAGGATGTGTGTGAAAAGTTACCGCTTCAATTACAATCAACTGAAAAATTGGATTATGCTAGATAATTGTAGTAGGCTGAAACCAAAAATGTTTCCAATTATATATGTATTTATATTATGGTATATTCGTATTTGGTAATTTGATGTATGATTGTATGATACTTGGTTTTATGTATATTTATAAATTATGTTGGTTGTTTAATTTATATAGAGTTCTGATAACGTTGTTTTCAACGCATATTAATTTACCACTTTCCAATTTGATTCATTTGTGTTTTGAAGTGAATTTTGTAAAATAAAACCATCCTACGTGGTAGAAGATCATATTTATGAGCTCCTTATAATTTCAAAGCTGTGAGCTACCAATAACTTCCACCACAGTTTTAAGTTGTGCTATAAGTTAGTGGGCTAGCTTGCTACTTTGGGCTTTGGGTGTTACAAATAGCATCAGAGCCGATCCTTGTATATCAGGATGGCGGGGCAACCCTCGTTGAGCGTAATAGTCATTGAGGGGGATGTTTGTAACATCTAGACAACTCCCACATTGTCGATCACAAGGAGGATTCTAGGACGGCTTGATGACCCTTCAGGGAAGCCCATAACTGACGACGGGCGATATGGTAATTGTCCGCATACACAAAAGACAAGAAGAGAATCTTAGAGGAATCCCGGATCTTAGCCTGAAAGTGCATCACCTGATCGGTGGCATTTAAGAGCATCATGTCAACATGGTCAGGATTCCAAGCAACAATGATACGAGTTCCTCTAGAGCAAAGAGTGCCATTAGAGGTCCAGGTCCAAGATCTAAAGACTTTCTCACAGATGGGAGGAAGCTTAGGAACAGGGGCACGAGACTCAAGAGCCGCACAAATATGAAGATTAGAAACACGAATGAGATCTCTTAAAGCTCTCTGGTGGGATAGATTGCAGAGACCCCGGGTATTCCACGAGGCAAAGCTCGTCATTGGGAAACGGGGGAGGGTGTGGAGTCCATATGAATAGAATATTAGATTTTAGAGCTACTTATAACTCAAAACTATGGGCAACTAATAACTTACACCATGGTTTTTAAGTAGAACTAGAAGTTATTGGGCTGACTTGCTGCTTTCGGTGATGCATTTAGATGATGTTTTCCAACTAGGGTTTGGGACATACTGCACACCCTCCGACTTGGCTTTACTTTCGGGTGATTTTGGGCATACCTGGAGCGATTTTGGAGACACAAAAACCAGAGATTATCATTAGGATTGAAGAAATGAAGCCGTATCTATGAATTTTGCTCATGGGGATCCATCAACAAAAAAAGGGTTCTCACTTTGCTTTATATTTTGATTGAGAAATCATGTTTGAACATATAAACTCTTCCCTTTCTTCCTTGTTTTCTTCCAACCCTAGTATGAACTCATCTTTAGATGTTGGGGGTTGGATGATTTTTGAAAGTTGTGATTGTGTTGGGTTTTCGATCAATGAAGCATATGAGTTTGTGTTCAATGCATTTGTTATCGTAACAACTATCATTGATTTATTGGTTATAAATTAGCTTTGAGAAAAGTATTTTATAGTTAGATTTATGATCCATATGCTTAGGGTGAGAACTTTGATAGAGAATACCAATTAAACCTTTTATAAAACCTTGGCCTTAACGAAATCCTGAAGTCGCGCGTTGAGATCAAGAGATAAAACTTACGTTTTGAAGGGATAGATCGTTTATGACGAGAGAGAGAGAGAGAGAGAGAGAGAGAGAGAGTAATAGGTAATTACGGGATTGTGTATTAATCTAATTGTTTAACCTGATAATTATTGCAAGTGAAGTGTTTAATGTGAAAACCATTAGAATTTCAACTCTAATTATTTATTTCAATCGATAAAACCAATCTAACCAAATCATTTGCGGGACTGGATCAATTATCTTAAATTATTTAGGTAAAAATATGTTGTCTGATTCAACATACAAATGATTAGATTGGACGCAATTAGATCAGTTCCGCCCAAATTCATTAAACATAAACTGTTTTTCACTGAACATCTCGCAGGTTTTTTAGAACACTAAGTTATTTTAGATGGAATACCAAAATATTAACTATTATTGGGTTTTTGTTTTTATAAAAGACGGGTTCATGTATAGAGCCATAGAGGAAGGAATGGTTGTGGAGCTTATGGTTGAAGATAAAGGTGTGCAAAAAGTCATCCGATACAATTAAAATCGACTGACCATAATCGAATATTAAATTGTAATCGGATCCAAAATTTCAAGATCCAAATCGGATCGGTCGGTTCTTGGATGACAGTCCAACATCCAATAAAACCGAACCGATCCAATTATCATCCAATTAATATCTAATTAATAATTATATATAACTATTAGCATTTTACAATATTTTTCTTAGTTGATATTTATGTACATTGTTTTTTAATAACTTAAGAAAATATATGAATAATTGATTGAAATAGTGGATTAATTGGTTGAGTATTGGATCAAAATATTGGACGAATCCAATCAAATCCAATGGATAACCAATAATAACATCCAATGAATGGAACCGATCTGATCCAATCATCCATTGGATTTGGATTGGATCAGATGTCCAATGTAATCAGATCAGATCAAATGACAAAATCCAACATCCAATGGATGATTGGATCAGATCAGATCCACCTAAATTCATTGGATTTCAATCGATGAACACTCCCGACCCTAGTTGAAGATAGATTATATTTTCAATTTAAGCAATTGTTATATATTATATTTTGAAAATGTCTAAAAAATATTTCAATTATTGGTAAAAGATTAGATGAAATAAAAAAAATGCATAATGAAAATTTTCAGTAAATCTATATTATCTTATTAAGTATTAAGGTAATGTGACTTGGTAAACACTTAACCGAATAAACATTTGTTAAACAATTTCTTATACAAAGTTTTAATAAATTATATAAAATTAAAAATTATAATAAAATTGGTTAATAATTCTTTTGTAAAAATGGGCCGTGGGTTTTATGAAGACATTTGGGCTTTAAAATTTTAGTGTCATGGACCATAGTTAAGTTATGTTTTGGAACGAGAAAGGGACGATAAACGAAGAGTCAATTAAGACACTGTAAGCCGGCACGGCAGCACCGTCATCGGACGCCGGAGAGAGTTTGTGAGCGGTTAACATCTACGGCGACGACGAGCTTCATACCTTTGCATCATTGCCTTTAATTCCTAGGCTCATCTGTAAGGCGGTCTCTACAAGGTGTTTTTGTTTGAGCAATCAAATGAGATGTTAATCGCAAATGTATTATAAATTGACAACTACAAGCTAGCTTTTTGTTTCTGATATAATATATATGATTACTCGATTTATCTTATCTGACTTTTGATTACATTGTGGTGAGGTTATTTTGCTATTTGGTTGGTCTATCTAAAATTAGGGTTTCTACTTTGTATTCAATGTGGAGAAATGTGTTGTATTTTGATGAAACTAGCTATCGGTTCTATGTATTTGGGGATTGTTAGATCAAGGTTATAGTCAATCCAGCCACTAAGTTCTAATAATTGCATCTGAATCATCTCCACCAATTGCATTTGCATAAACTCCATTTCAGTTTTCACACTAGCGAAGGTTGAAACTTTTAACAATGTTTGTTAATAAAAAATGACCTGTTGATGTGCCAAGCTATAAGCTGAATGCTTGCTTCCTGCCTCTCATCTTCTCGTCATCATCTCATCGTGGTGGCCATTGCTGCTTGTTTTTTATGATTTGGGTAATGGTTGTTTTTTTCCAGATTGTGCAATAAAATATTTTGTGGCTAGTGTTTGATTTTCATGAACAATTATGAGCTCTAATCACATGTGTTTCTTTTGCTTGTGGTTTTGAGCCTTGATTGATTAGTTTGTTAAATGTTCATGAACAATTATCTGTGTCTTTTGATGTGTTTGTGACATGATTAAGTGATTTTGGTTTTGTTTATGTTTATGATCAAGGGTGAAAATGGTATTATTTATCATTCACCACAAAAAGCATAGAATGTTTTATCTGTGTCTTTTGATGTGTTTGTGACATGATTAAGTGATTTTGGTTTTGTTTGTGTTTATGATCAAGGGTGAAAATGGTACTATTTATCATTCACCACAAAAAGCATAGAATGTTTTATTAATCTATACCATTGGCTTAATCCATCCATAAAGGACTATGGAAAAAAATATCCTCCCCTTAGGGGCTGTTTATGTAGAACTTAATAGGATCAATGGCTTAATTTGGTCAACTATACGTGGTTTCTTGTTTAGAGCTTAATGATTAAGGCATTAAGCTGATTTCACTTAGTTCAGCCAGTCCCCCCCTTTCCAGACACCATATTCTGTTCCTGCCAATGGTTCCCATGTTGAAAGGAAATTCCTTCGAAATCCTTTAATTCAACATCATGATGATTTCACCATTGATGAGGTTTGAACCCTTGACCTTCTGTGAGGTTGAGCTCTACAGGTACCTGGGTACCACTGAGCCAATGATGCTTTGCCGAGTGTCTGATATTTCAAAATACAAAATCGTCCTTGAAAACACTGGCTGCTCTCTCCATCTCTTGATCTATTTTCTCTCTCGATTTTTGGAAACCATATATTGATGTATTCTGCTTTCCATCTGCTCCTCTTGGTGATCTGGTACCGCTCTTGGTGTTCTGTTATGCTCTTGATCTGGTCTCAATTTTTGGATACCCTCTGCTCTCGAACTGGTCTGCTTTTGATCTGGTATAAGAACGAAAGAGATTATTGAGCACAAGTGATACAGTGATGTTCTATGAACTAGCAGCAACAATAAGACAAGTTCATGGTATTTATATAGTTGATTATGTAGCTTATTCATGTTTATATCATTCTTGTTATTTTTTGCTTTGGATCTTAGTTACGTCAATGAACAGGGAATGGCGCAACTTAGTTTAACAACATGCAAACGCAAGCTTATCAGAGTTTTTTTGGATCCAAGCTATGACCGTTGTTGTATGGTTTTTTGTCATGGTTGCCACGTTAATAACCAAATACAAAAGGCGGAGTTATGCTTTACTTGAGGGAATCCATAATGCAGCTATCGAGCTTGGGGACAGCCTTATTCGAGCATCGACAACAATGGTTCAAGCTGAAGTGGATCTACAAAAGAAAACTTCCATGGTCTATTCTGAAATTTTAAAAATGCGTTCACTTTCGGAAGATAGCACATGAGCCATCCGACGTGTTAACGTTTTGGGCCTTGGCGGAAAAGAGGCGAGAGAATTGGGTGCGGTTTATGTTAGAACAATGATCGGTTATGAAAGATGTGTGTAGACGATGTTTTTGGGTTATTAGTAAAGGATGCAATATATAATCAAACAATATTTTTGAGTTATTATTTACGTATGGAATATGTAAAGAACTTATGAAAGGTTAAGCATGTTATGGTTGGTTCTTAGAGTACGTTTGGTATGCAAATGGGACTTGACAGGCCGGAAAGAATTGAACAGGTGAGAGTGAGGTAGACGGGTTAAAAAAACTGTAAAAATGTTTTAGGTTTTTAATTTGTCATGAATAATTTTACCAATCTTGTCATTGCTCCCCGGATTTTGTTCCATCTATTTTAGTGGGGTAAAAAAGCACATTTTGTCCAACTCAGTCTTGCCTTGTTCCGGTTTAATATCACACCAAATGTTGAACAAGAAGATTTGTTTTGTCATGTCCCTTTCCATGTACGAGATGCATCATTAGTGACTTTTGAGATGACGTGAATCATTGTAGTCTCATTTAGAAATAGACGAATCAATTTGGTGGTATACTTGATCAATTAGAATTATACGTCATGTTTGTCAACTAATGGTTAGTTTATTTTTTGAACTTATTGTAAAAATTTTGTTTGGATCAAAAAATAGCTGATATAAGTAGCGTTTCAATAAACTTAGTAAGATTTTTGTCACTTTCTTGCAATTATACCCATGAATTAATTACTATTAGTTATTATTAAATATTAATTGTTAATTATTAATTAATATTAATATTGATGTTAAATTATTAATCTAATTACTTTTATATTATCTAAACTATATTATAAAAACATTTAACAAAAACTCTAAAAACCCACTTTTTATGAATGAGGTTCTGTTTATTGATGCATATTACTTAAAATTCAAAATTACAAGTAAATTATGCATAAATACAACTTATCCAACCTCCATGTTTGAATTTATGTAACCAACTGCAGATAAACATAATCAAATAGAGTATAAACATCTCATTTTAAATATAAAATTAGAATAATCATATTGAATTCTAACAAAATACTTAATTATTATCTTTATAAAAAATTTATATTATTAAACCAAAAATAAAACATAAATTAAAGAAAAACAGAAAAAAGGGTAAATTCTAAATAGTTATTTTGGTACTAATATCAATATTTTTTTTCATTTTTTTTGATATTTTGATATTTATATTTGATTCAAAACTTAAAAATATTATCGTTTTCTCAAAACCACATAAAACTGTATTATAACATCGACTGAAACAAAAAAAAAATGAAACATTAAAACCGAGATGTATTTTGCTACATTGTACGAGTACCCTTCTAGTTCTTATTCAATATATTTAATCTATCAAAAAGAACTAATATAACAATATCAAATTGTTCTTGTAAGTTACATAATAATTAAAGTTATATTTCTTCTGTTTCATAAATAATAAAATTTTGGAAAATGATTTTAATAAAAATTAATTTAATTATTAATTATTTTAGTTTTTTTGAGAAAATATTGAATAACTAAAGGTTGACAAACTTTCTTTATTTTCATATTATACATAATGATTCTTTAAAATAATTAACTAATGTAATTTTTTTTCTAAAATTTGTATTTGATTAATTACATCAATTCGAAACTATGATATTATATCTACAATTAATAATTAAATTAAAATATTATTAATTAACATATTGTGTGGAACGATTATTTAAAATCATCAATTAATGTAATTTTTGCTATTTGGCTTGTATTTGATTACACAAATCTAAATCTATAATATTATACGTACATATATAAAATTAATAAACCAATTGAAATTATATTAATTAACATATTATATTATTAGTAATTTATTTTGATTATATTATGAAATATTAAAATTGACTAATTTATTTAACATTTATCAACTAGTGTTTGCAAAAACATGATTTTGTTTACTTTCTACTAAAATCTGTATATATGGATTGGCTTGGATGTTATTTACTTTCTACGCGGGGTTGTCCATCGTTTTACAAATAAGTTGTTATATTCATATGAAGCTGGTTGCACCAAATTTGATCTGTCTTCATGTTGTTATCTTGGCAGTCGGGCACAGTTTCCATTAGGCTTTTACTTTTCTTGAGGCTTGTAGCTTCTGGGGTCTTTGGCGATAAACATGTTGAATGTTATTTATATCATACCGTGTGAAAATAGTGATAAAAATTAAGCAAAAAGTTGTTATATATTTATTGGTGAAGAAAACATCTTATTTTCAAGAAATTTCTAGTTGATTCGAAAAGGAAACTCTTGGTAGAGTGGGAACTCGGGATTCTACGACTTTTGGCTTGAACATTTGTTGAATAAATTAAATTCGGTTCAAACATGTTAGTCTCTAAGATTTGATGTTAACCTAACCCACAAGACTTTGGTCCTTTTGAGCTTAAGGACAAAATCTTGTTTGCATAAAATATATTTACAATGTAATGAATTTTGTCTTAGTCCACATTTAATAGGGGTGTTCGTGGTTTCTGTTTAGGCGGTTTAACCCCACCAAACCACCAATCAAGCCACAATGGAGGTTTAGAGGTGGCAGCTTATTATGAGCTTTAAACTAAAATAAAAATTATATTATGTATATGTATCCAAAATGAAGTTTCTACCAATATGTAACATCTCATAATCATATTTGCATATAAACATATATTTTCATAAATCAAGAAATATAATTTACACATCTGATCCCAGTATCTATAAAAGCTACATTACAAAGTAGCTACCAAATTTTTCCACAAACCCTATACAGAACTTGTATACATAACAAATATTTAAATACAAAAGATAACATATTATCCCAACATCTCATGCAAGCATTTATAAATTCTTCACAATTTTCCCTTTCCTTTATCATACGTTTGTGTTCGACCTGTAACGCATATTTTGAAATACAAATGAGGGTTAGACTTTGAGGTCCAGTGAGAAATCTGTTTGTTTGTTATTACAGGGTGAATAATCATCAAACTACTTTTATAAACTCATATTTGTATAAATAACAAATAAACAACGCTTTAACAAACAAACCTCTTTGGTTACACTAAATTATCGCATCAATTAACCGGAGAACTCATTTATTGCATTAAACAAGAGCTCATCGCATCATATAGGTAAAATTATAAATTTCTCGCATCACATGGGTGAGACAATCCCAATTCCTTGCAACACGCTGATGCGAGGACCTCATCTCATCGCATCATATAGGTGCGATAAACCCATTTTGTCGCATCAATAAGATGCGATAAACACAACTTCTTGCATCACAAGGATGCAATGAAAACAACTCATTGCACCAAAATGGTGTAAACAGTACTTCATTTCCAATACATTACACCAAATTTGTTAGCCAAGTCCAAACATTAAAATAACAAGTTCTCAATCAGAAGTTCTTTGCTACAAAAGTTGCAAAGCTAAGCACATAAGCATCAAACTGCTTACAAAAACATTACAACCATGTTTATCTTAATTGTAACTTGCATTAATTCAGGCTCTATTACTAGCAAGATCATTAAGATAAACGAGGATCCGATTTTCAAGCCCTAAACCGAAATTGCCTACCATAATTTGATGAATCTTCAAGCTCTAAATCGAACATATGAGACAAATTGAACTCAAACTCGATCAAGAAACGAAATCGAAGACCGAAATCAAAGATAAAGCAAAGAGAAATCACAGACAATCAGTCCGATTGTTGAAAAATCGAAGAGAAATCATACGGGGATTCTCGTATCTCCTCTCAGTATAGACTCCGTTTGATTTTCACGAATATTTTTATTATATAAATTTGATTTATTAAAAATAAAAAAGCTTTAGATATGCTTTTGAGAATTATAAAAAAGTAACTAAAACATTTTCTTTAATTTTAAAATAAAAATAAAAATATTTTATTTTTTAGCGACAATGTAGAAAGTGTTTCTAAAGCTTTTGAGTCGATTTTTAGAGACGATTTATATAAGAAGCATCTCTAAAAGCTTTAGGATCGATATATATAGCATATTATTAGGTTTGAAATCCTTCTCTGAAAGTCGTCTTATCTTCAGGTACATTTTTCACTTTTGTCATGTATTTCCTTCCCTAAACAACACCTTTAGATACACTTCCAAATCCTTCTCTAGAACTTTCTTCTCTAAAATCCATTTTCCTTGTAGTGATCACACAAATGCGACAACTCAAAGTATCGCATCATAAGGATGCGACGAACAAATATGGACTTGATCAAAACCCAGATTTTATATTATGTTGATTATGTCACCCTTATCCTGATATACACATCTTCTTATTATGTCACCCTTATCCTAGAATACACCTCTTCTGATTATGCCATTTTTATCCCAAAATACACCTCTCTGAATTATGTCACCCTTATTTCGATAATTTAATATAAACATATCAAAATACCAAAATTATGTTAATCATAGCATCAAAACAGTTTTCATAAATTTCTCACGTAAAGAACTTTACGGTTCCAATTCAACACAACACGATGAAAGCTTGTAAAATAAACTCGTCATCTTATGATCACAAGAGATGAAGATATGAAGACGAACATCAACAAATAATCAGAACAAGAATCACAGAAAACTGTTTCTACTTACTTCCTCTTCTCGGTTCTGTTTTCTCGAGCTCAAAATACACATACAAAAACTCTTTTCTTCTTTTTCCTTTTTTAACTCCATCACTATCCCAATGAAATAACATAAAATCTCATATTATACATATAAAAATCATGAGGCGTGGGGGAGGTTGTGGTGTATCACATAAACCCTAAAACACAAAAAGAATAATAAAAAACTTAAATTAAAAACTCAGGTCACAAATAATATGGATGTACAATGACACATCATAATTTTCTAAAAAAAATTGCAACTCAACAAAAAGTTGGTACTACATAAAAAAAAATTCCTTTGCATTTTGGTACATTTTATCATCATGCTAAATTTGATTAATACATGGTTTAAGAACACTAGTTGAAGGTATTTATAAATCAAATATATCTGAAATCCACGGATAATCATTTTTAGTTCTATCTGTGATGATGAAAGGTTCTCTTTTACTGAATTCTACATGTAAATATACGTACATGA